CTAAGGCATTAGAAAAAAGGCCTGCTCCATCCATATCTACCCAAGATAATTGCGCTGATAACTATATTAACAAATGGAAGAAGCGGAAGCTATCATCGATCAAAAATTTTGATTCCTCCGACCTTGAAAAAATCCCCAATAGCAAATATGGACATTTGAGGTGCTTGTATTATTTGTGACTTGATCTGACTGACTTATGTGAAAGGAAACAGCCTTTTTCCCTTGGTTCACAATTTGTAACCTATTAATTACATTTTTATTCGTCTGTGATCTCTTTACACTTCCATCATGCTAATAATCACAGGCATCATGGTTAGATCAAAAATGACACCCGGTTCGTTCTGGAGAGGGGAATCGTCTTCGACAATTGTCTCACATGAACTTTGAGTTTGAGAATCGCTATCGTCATCTTGGAATTGATCCATGTTAATTATATCATGAACTGAAGATGATCCATTTTTGTCATCAACAACTTCATATATATCATTTCTCGAATTTTCATTTGGCTTATCGTGCGTTATCTTTGATGTTTGGGGTTGGCGCCTATCATTGTTTGGATCATCAGGCAATTTTGGTTTATAGCATAATCTCGTAAATAATTCCATGAATGTTCATACAGTCCTGGATAAAGTCTATAAATTAAAGACTCGTATAGTCCCTCACCTGCATTTCTTTGAGAAATAAGATAATCGCGAAGATTTTCACTTCATCTTTAGTAAATATTGCTTTTGGAGATTCATTGTTTTCATCATTTTCATTTGCAATAGATTGTCCATCATCATCATCACCATCAAGAGTAACGGATGATTGTCTTGAAGAGCTTATAGTACTACTCTGTTCTTGACTTTCCCTATAGTTGTTGTACATGGGACGTGTTGGTGTGACTTTAGAGCTTCTTTCCTCTTGTGAGTCGCTGCTACTTCGTATTTATTTCAAAGGAGTACAATAAACACTGCCCGGTTCAGATTGAATTAATGTAACACTGCCTGGTGCAGATTGAATTGATATAGCATTATGCTCCCGTAGTTCACGTTTATCACTTAATTGTGACGTAGAAGAGGTTGGAGCATTGCCCTGACCTTGAAATTCGCAAATTTCTATACGAGTTGGTGTTGCATTAGGAGACGGCATTATTTTCCTGCTAGAGTTCTTGATTATTGGTTATTTGATAAGAGTAGCATTACTTATGTAATTGTTCTTGTTCGTTAACAATTGGCGTTGTTGAGGCACTCGTTCTTTCATTCGCCATGTTTGCGACAACGGAGCGTTCAGGAAGTAAATTTGTCATAATAAAGTTTATTGCATGAGATCTAATAGATTGCCAAGGGTGACAAATGTTTACCCCAGGATAAGTCCAATATATGATTCCAAGATGACGAGCGTTCTGATTTTTTCGACGACGATAGCGATTCTCAAATTCTAAGTTCATGTGAGGCAATTGTCGAAGACGATTCCCCCTCACCAGAACGAACCAGGTGGCATTTTTTTATCTAACCATGCTACACCACAGAATTATCTGCCAATTAATCAAGTCCCACCCTCTAAGGCATTAGGAAAAAGGCCCGCTCCATCCATATTTATTCACAGATAATTGCGCTGATAATTACATTAACAAATGGAAGAAGCTGAAGCTATAAATTTTGATCCTCCGACCTGGAAAAAATCTTAAATATATAAATATAATTATATTAATTTTGTAACTATATAAAAATAATTATAGAAAAATTAGATTATATTAAAGAAAACTTATTTTATGCTTACCAATAGCAAGTATGGAACACAGCTCCTCGCGGAACAAGAATTTCTCATTAATCTTACGTCAATTGTTGCTGAATTCTTGGTTGAGCCATGCTTTATAGATTCTTTATTCTATTATTCTTAATGAATAGTATTTACCTATACTACTGATAATATATTATACTACATTGTGACAAGAAAATTATTTATTTTTTGACCAATTAAAGAAGTAAGAGGATTGTGTTCATGATCACAGGATTTGACCATTTCAGATATAGATCCCAATTTATATTTATCGATATTAACTCTTCAGATCCGCGATGTTTTACGTCAAAGCGAACAAGCAAATAGGCGAGTAAAACTAGTGTGGACAAGTGCAAGGAGGGTAAAACTAACAAGCAAACAAGACAAGAAAATGAGTAGATAAAAAATGCGACGAATGAAACCTTTTATAAATAAATCAATCGTATGTTTGTGGGAATATTTTGATGAAATAAAAAGGCGCATTTGGTTAAACTAGGGGTTAATAATCTTTTGAGTCCCCATGTCAGCCACAGCTATACCAATATACTCAATATACTATAGTAATTTATATTATATCTCATTATTAATAGTGAAGCAATGATGTAAATGCTCTATTTTTGTATGATTTTACGTAAACAATCGATCATCGATGATTACATGTATTAATTTGGGTTCTATCAACAAGATTTGAAAAATCAAAATCATGTTATTTACACATTATAATCGGTCATTTAAACTAATTCACAAAAAGTTTCTACATTGTCCTGGTAATATATTAATTTTGCAATCTCCTCAAATTGCTGATTTTGGACTTAGCATTCCATCAAATATGGAAAATATAGAAAAATCTAACCAAAAATTTGTCCTTTTATGAGTCCAGAGGTAGCTAAATGGAAAGCCATACACTTACGCTGCAGATATTTATAGGTTTGGACTGATTGTATATGAGATTTTTACAGGTGAACGACCATTTGTTAATATAGTTATCAGCGCAATTATCTTGGGTAGATATGGATGGAGCAGGCCTTTTTTCTAATGCCTTAG